GGCATGCAACCAGTTTAGGGATCTACTCTTCTTGTTACCAGCAGATAATAATGGGGTCCTATTAGGGATAATTCTATTCGATTTCAGATAGTAACCTAATTATAATCTTTGTATAGATCATCCTGTGTTATAGAGATCTTGATTTTTAGTGAGAACCAATGAAAACTATCAATCCTCATGATCTGTATCAGCTATACTCAAAAACATCAGTTATATATGGTTAGGCCAATGGATAATTTGCCAGATTCTATCTGCTTTTAATCATGGGAATCACATTAGTCCCCTAGAGGATTTGAACCTGCATCTTGTGATTTGACCTATAGAGTGCTAATCACTGCACTATAGATCTGTAGGTCAATTTTTATTTTTTATTATTTTTAACTTTGAAAAATAATACTTTATTTATTAGTTCTTTTATTTTTTAAAAATTTTTTGTTTTTAATAGAAGAAGTATATACTTGAGTTTATTTTAATTATTAAAGATTCAAATTTTTATTCAAAAAAGTTTATAAATAAATAAAGAAGGATAGTAGTAACTTATAAAAACAAGTTTCAGGTTATTTTAAAAAATATATAAAGAATTAATTAAAAATTATAGAAACTTTTTGTAAATATTTTTTTACATATAATTAAAGAATTAATAAAAAGAATTTTTTTAATTTTTTAATTTTTAACTATTTAATTAAAAATTATAAAAATTATATATAATATATTTTTATATTAATTATATTTTTTTATATTTTTTGAAAAAATTATATATATATAATTTTTTAAAATTTTATTATTATAAATTTTTGCTTTTAATTGATATTTATTATAAATTATATAATAAAAAGATAAGATTTTAATAATAATAAAAATTTTTTAAACCAATATGAAAAATAAAATAAATATTATTAAAAATTTATAAATTGATAAAGTTAAAATTTATAATAAAAATATAATAAATAGACATAAACTTTTATAAGTAATTGTATATAAGTTTATAATTTTTAATTGTATGATTAAGAATTTAAATTTAAAATTTAAAAATATAATACTGTATATGGATTATAGCTTTTAAAAACCATGCTATTTTATTTTAATTATATAAATTAAATGAAATTTATAATAATTTGATTGTAAATTTATTTTTATAAATTTATAAAACTAATAAATTTTTTGAATATAATTTATATAATTATATTATAATAGTTGTCGAATTTAATTAGCTATATAATAAAAAACTACAATTAGGAAAACATTAAAAACAATAAATTATAGAGTAAATAAAGCCAAAAACCTTTTAAATTTAAATTTATTTGATAGAAAAAATACATGTGTTACAAAAGACATAAACATGTTATTGTATATATATAGTATAGCGATAACGTTCTTCACTATACCAGATAAGACTTATGAAAGCTATTTTAGGAAGAACTAACGTGTCAAGACCGTGCCAGTGCTATAATTAAAAAATTTTTAAGATGATTGTTATTTTATAATAATAATAATAATAATAATAATAATAATAACAATAATAATAATAATAATAATAATAATAATAATAATAATAATAATAGTAGTAGTATAATAATAATAATTAATAAGAATAATAATACTATTAAAAGTAACTTTAAACAATTTATCGAAAGTTGAACCGATTACCAATGTTAGCGAGAAGTGCATAACGAATTGTTTCGAAATTGATTTTCCAGAAGTCTTGTGAAACCAACTGTTATGAATGATCCGTAATTGTAACATTACATGCAATTCATCTACAAACCCAATTGGAAAATGAAATTACGTTAAACACATACGAATTAATAAGTGTAGATACGTAATTAATTTAATTTTTTCTCCATTAGCTTTCTCACATTATCGTATGTTTCGTGGATACATTCGGTCTGGTTGAGACGGAGTATTAATAAAAATAATATCATTTGTTACTACACAAACAAAACTTTGCTTTTTGTTTGTCAACATACACTCGCTTCACTTATAAAATTCCTTTCCTTAAACCCTTTATTTCTATTAACTCGCACACTTTCTTTTACCATGACTGCTAATACATCGTCTCATCTAACACCCCCTCCATCGTCTCTGGGTCATATGAATAATGAAAGAGTTGGAGACGAAATAGTTTCGACAGCCTGCCCTTCCTTGCATAAGAATCCACCGTCTCCCAGAACACAGTCTAAATCTATATTAACCGTTGCGCTTCAAAAGGCCCAGACCGCCGTGCAATTTGACGCTGCAAACAACGTAGTAGCCGCGTTGGAATCTTATAAACAGACCGTCGAACTTTTATCACAGGTTATAATTAAAGCTACAAACGAAGCTGATCGACGAAGATTGCAATTAATTGTGAGTTTGAGTTTTTATTTCAATTCTATTGGTATTTTCTATTTTGATGAGTTGATGAGATCAAATTGATTATCAGTAGTCATATGTTTTTTTAAGAATCAATTAATCTTCCGTTGGGTCATTATATTTACACCTCTTCTGTACTCAATTTCTAGCATGACACCTATGCTGACCGGATAAGGTTATTGTCGACCATAGCCCCAGAATCCGATGGTGCGTCCTCAAATGATGCCAGTAGTACAGATCAAGATCCGGACTTTGTTGAAAGTGAAAATAATGATAAATCTTCGAAATCGGAACAATCGCTGGAACAGGGTAGCGTCATAGAGCCCGGCACAGTTACAACACAAAATGTTCGAAAAGCGGACTTTGATGTACAAGGTTCCACCCCAAATGACGGTGATAACGGTTCAATTGATATGGATTCGAATCAATTTAATAAAGATAGATCTTTAGATTTTAATAGAAACCCTCTAAATCAACAGAATAATGATGCAGAAAAAATAATAGAAACGAAAGATATTGGTGCTATAGATAATATTAGCACAAAAGATAATTTAATTGAAAAAGAATATGAAGCACCTGTGCAATCGAAACGGTTTTCAAATCTTTCACACAAATCTGACAGCTCCACATTAATAGATAAACCTTATATAAATAAAACGGTACCTGAGCCAACAAACGAAAGAGAGAAGTCGATAGCTGACACCAATGGCATCACGGAATTTGTTGTAGGTTCGGAAAATTCAGCTTCCAACACCGATGTCGCCGAAAGTTTCGACGCGAAATTACAGGAACAAGGAAAACAGGTCACAGATCAGGATCTTTCCAAAGAAAGGTCACTTTCCTCGTCGTCTCCATCTCAGATTGAAACAGAAATACCTCCAAAAAATACGACCGAAAGACGCACTCCTTCTCATGTTTTTGTACCTCCACCCCCACCCAAAATTGCTCCTCCCAGCAACAATTCACAACCATCTATATCACCTTCTCTTCTACCATCTACCACAAACAACGCCCTATTGCCAATTTCAGCGTCTGAGACGACAACGGATTTACTATCAAATCTAGCCCAAGAGGAAAATGACGACAAAGCTTCTGTTAAATCTGCATCCCTAGAATCCAATAAATCACCACAATCTCGGCGCCCTACACCCCTTTCGCTAGATAAACCAGAAATTTATAACTCCCGTAGCTTACTGCACACACCTTCTCCCTCAAACCCTAATAATTTGACAGGTTTCGTTCAGCCGTCTTCTAATTATTCGCATTCTTCAGGTTTTCCGAAAAGGACTGCATCAAACCCTGGAAATAGTTCTAGAAAGAGTACCGTTCGTTTCTTTAGTCAGTCACAATCAACATTAACCTCTAGTTTTACCCAAACCCTGTCACAAATTCCCGGGACTCCGTCTCCGTGGTCGAATAATCTTGGTATACCACCTCCACTAGGTAGCCCGGGATTACGCAGTGATCAAACAAATTCACCAAAAACGCCTCAATCGGGATATATCTCTTGCCTGATGAATCCTTTACCCAACACATTACTTAATGACGAAGATTTGGGTTTACCTACAGTGAAGAATTCTGCGTTACCTGAACCACCACCAAAAGATATTCATTTAAGACCCTTTTGGTTGATGCGTCTGTTGGAACGCACGATGACCACCGGAGGATACTTGACCCCAAAGTTGTATATTCCCTGTAATTTATGGCTACAAGGTCATGCAAAATTAACAGCAATAGATACGAAAATATCGAGTTGTGACGTTGTTTTAAATTGCCTAATAAGATTATCAAAGACATCGATTGACGACATTGCTAATCTTTCGAGGGTCTGTACAATTTTAGAATTCTTGGTTCATTTTTGCGTGCGTGTTTAATAGTGAAATTTATTGATTTGTTAAATACCGTATAAAGGAATTGGAAGGTATCGAATCCATTATAGAAGGCCTCCAAAATTCACTTGCAAGGAAATTAAGCTATGTCGAGTCCACTAACGGAAAGAGCCGACAAAGTACAAGTTCACTTATGAATTGGGGTTCTAAATTGTCACGAAGTCTTGACAAAATGGGTATGAGCAATGCCATGGTTCGTAGTGAGGAGGCCAATGGTTACGTGGATGTTCTCATCAAGGTGTTCCAGAATGCCGATGTTGTTGGTAAGAGATTTTAATCGTGATGCTTAACATGTTAATCGATCAAATCATTTATAAATAATCCTTTTTTTTTTAAAAAAAAAAAAAAAAAAAGAAAAATACATACAATACTTCAGTTCTTTGAAGCCACCGCACCATCATCATTACGCACCAATTGTAACTCGGCTGTTCAAGATTGCAGATTATTTTTCAAATGTTATATGTCTGTTTGTCGTGCGAGATTTAGGCGTACTAGCGGATAAATATGTGAAAAAGGGAAGCCATTGGGTCGTTGAATAATGATCCTCAAGAAAAAAAACAACTGTAAAATAGGAAATTCGAGGGAATAAAACACGAATCGATTATTTGATTATTTTTTATTTATTATTATTTTTTTTTTTTTAGAAACGAAAATGATATCTATTGTATTTTTATCCTAACTATATATATTTGGAGAGTCGGCTTTTCTTTGTTCATTCCTTATTTAATTCCTTTTTATTATGACAATGACAGTCTCCTAATCCTGATTGTAAAAAGAATTCTTATCCAGCTTAACTTCCTTTGTATAGAAATTTTTTAACTTATTTACTTTACCTTATTTCGTTTTTTTTTCCTTCTTTTTTTTTGCATTAAAAAGAAAGTTGGGTACTATTTAATCATCATCATTGTATATGATTTCGTCCCTTAGCTTCCATAAATTGATTAATGTCCTAATTAATGTATCCCACATCCCTATTTGTTCTCGCCGTTTTTCAAAGGTTAATTAATATTAATAATAGCATTTCTTTATATCCATCCATCTTTGTTATATAGTAAACATACCTAATTTATTTGGTGAAACCGGAGGGAAAAAATGATTGAATCTGGTTTATTTTTTTTTTTTACTTTCTCTCACCATTTAGCATATAGTTTCTTTCGGAATGTGTTAACCCATATCATTATAGAATAAATTCACTTTCTCTTAGCGCATTTGATAAATATTTAAATAAATTTGTAACACGACGTAAAAGTGTGTATTTTAGTGTTTATTCATTCATAAAAAATTAAAAGAAGTGATGCGACTTAAAATTCGATCTCATGCAGCTGCAGGTATCCAATTATTTGTTATATAAATATGGATAGTTATCCTCGATGTCCTTTCCAAAATTATATCGTGCATTAGATAAACCATATTGTATTTCGGATTGATTGTGGCACACCATTATCAAATTCCTATGCATGTGACTCTCTCTATTAAGCAACGCGCGAAGAAATGGGTAATTCTTTTTGAAGGCGGACGGGGAGTTTTCGGACTACCATGAAAATTTCAATTGATACGTATATACAATATAAATTCTAGCCCCTAAAATTACAAGTATGCATAATGCCGAAAATAAAGTACTTACACCTATATCACGGGATGATCGTCATGTAACGAAATTTGCGCGAAACTGTGAAAATTGACATTAATATTTTGCAGAATCAACTTTATTTCAATATAATATGTAGTAAAATTATATATATATAAATAATAAATATTTTTTTAATATAATTCTTAAATCTTGTGTAGTTTTATTTTGAAATTAATTAATAATTCTTCAATAAATAAAAATAGCCTATATTAGATGATTTTTTTTTTTAAAAAAAAATAAAAATATAGTTTAATATAAAATAGAAGGGAGGGAATAATCAGCCCCAAAGCCATATATAGCTACCCCTATATGTTGAGCCCTATTTTATATTATTATCAAATTATATTTCTATCAGAATAGGAAAATCAGGTATTTTTTCTATTCTAGTAAGTAACATTTCTCTATTTTTGCTATCCATTATTGTTGAAGTGGTATTTATTAATTGTCTAAATGGTATATATTTTGTTTTTCTTATATCTTTTACTATTTTTATATTAAAGAGAATTTTTATATACTCTTCGTAATTAAATATACTAAGAGTTGAAGCATATAATTTACCATTAAATTTGTAAATGATAAATATGAAAAAAAGTTATCTATAGTTAATTTGTGAATATTATTTCAAGACTGGATACATGAATAAGTGTCAAATAAAATATTATTAGAAAAGAATTGGATTTTTCTTTTAAAAAAAATCAATTAATTCTTCAAGGATATAAATATTTTAAATAGATTCACCTTCAGAAAACCATCTTAAAAGTATGTCAAAATGTTCATCAATAATGCTTTTTCCATAGTATTCAGCAAAAAAATTAAAAAAAATCTTTTGTTATAAAGGGTTGGTAAATTATTGAAAATAAAATACATTGCTTTGGTTAATCTGAATCATAGAATAAATTTTTTTAAAAAAAAAAATCAAAATATTGTGTTTAAATTATATCATTATTATCTTTATAAAAAATGCCAAATCCTAAAAGTAAAATTTATATTTTCTTATAAATATTTTTATCTGTTTCAAAGAAGCCATTATCAATTTTAAAATTTTTCTTAAAATCCATAACCATTATACAAGAAGTTGTTATTATAAAGTTAATAGAATTTAATAAAATTGATATTGATTTGGTTTAAAGTAAAGATATTGATGATAAAGATTAATTTAATATTATAATTAAATAATAAAATGAGTATTAAGAAATTGATTTGTGATAATTTTTTTTTTTTTCTTCAATACATATTGAATATATATTTGTCTTTTTTTGTGCTTTTTTGAAGTTTTTTGAACAATATTTATAAAATATATCAAGATTCAATTTTAAAGTTGGATTTTGGATTTTTAATTCAAAATAAATATATTTTTTTGTTTTTTTTTTTTAAAATAATAAATAGAGATAGGATTAAAAGAAATAGTAATATTTTCAAGAGAATAAGAAAGTTTTAAAGATTGATATATGATTATAAATAAATGAGTATTTTATATAAGAGATTTAAAAATAAGTTCAATAGTTTGTTTATTAATAACAAATTTGCTATATACTTTTTTCTTTCTTTTCTTTGATGCCTTCCAGGTTCAAGTTCTCCAAAGGTAATGGTGATGCTTCTTGATTCTGTTTAGTTTATATATTAGATCTATACTTGTGTCTTGTATTTTTTTTATCTTTTTTCATAATCTTTTGCTTCTTTTTATATTCTATAACTTTGACATAGTAACTATTCCAGATCTCCTTTTTGAAGTTTACTTATATCTTTAGACAAAATCTATAAATTATATTCTATGTAGTTACAGATAGGATTTTAAGCTGCTCTTTAAGATACTTCTTAAAAAGGTGGTTTTATCTTCTTCTATATATTCATAGATAGTATTGAAAAGATTCTTATCAGATTTTTGGATCTCTTTTAGCTATTTGTCTATCCAGTCACTTATTATTAATCAGACTTTTTCCTTATATTTAACTTCTTTACTAATATATTTATGAATTTTTTCATTTGTTTTCTGCTATATGTCTTCCCTGGCTTCTTTAGTGACCAAATATTCAAAGAGATGTCCTAATATCTCTTTTTAAGTTCATATATTGAAAAAATAGTTATAATAAATATTTTTTAAATTTTATTCTTATTAAAATAGTATATAAATAATAATTTTCTAAAAATTATTATTTTGAACTATTTTTTTTTTTTTGGAATGAAAGCTCAGCCATATTTATTAACTTTGATAACATAATATACAAATTAATACAGAGATTACAAAGGTTGTTATATGGAGCTATATATTATTTATATCAATAAAACTCTCTAAAACCCAACCTTTAACAGATTTACTGGGAGGCTTGTTACCTGGAGATATCCAGTTGGATTAAATTTCTACTACTACTACTATCTGAAAAAAAAAAACTAGACACTCCTTATTGGATCTTCAATTCTTCTGAAGTCCTCCCAACTAACATGCCATGGTGAACTTGCTAGTTTCAAAAAAGGAGAGATACATCTTTCTTTTGATCATGATGATTATGGCTTGTCATCAATTACTAAATGTATTTAGAGAAAGAGTGTGAGTTCGATAGATATTTTGTGTTATATGAAGGTGAAAAAACCATTTGGATCAAAATGAAAAAATTCTGAAGTGATTTTGGAATAGAAAAATAATTGTATCTTCATATTACTATGAATTATATTCAATATATGATTAAAATATTTTATAATTATATTATATTTATATTAAATTGCATTAAAAATTTATAAATTTTTATTACATATATTATATAATTTAGATATTGGATTAATTATTATATTTTTAAAAATTAATTTTTTATTGTTTATAAATTTTTTTATTAAAAATTGACTTTTAATAATTAAATAAAGGTTAAATAATATCTTTATATTATTAATAAAAGAATTTTTAAAAAACAAAATTGATTGTAAAATATTTAAAAACTTTTTATCTTAGAAACAAATTATTATAAAGATTTTTTATAATAAAAATTTTTTTATTTTTATTTTCAATTGTTTATATTTCTTTAAATTTTTATTTTAGTAATGTTTTTAAAAAATTTTATTTATTTCAATTGGTTTTAAATTTCTTACTATTATTATTCTATATTTAATTATATCATTAACAATAAAAAAAAAAAAAAAAAAAAACCTGTGGGTCAATAGCACAGTAGTAGTGCTCCCAGGTCGCAATCACAAGGTCTGTAGTTCAATACCACTTAAGAATCAAAATCAAAAATTATCCTTCTGATCAGGTTTGACCGGTTATCTTGTGAAAGTCGTATCCAATCATCCGGAACAAGTTCTAATCAGGTTAGGCTGCATAAAGATGGGACCTCTGGTTTTTCTGACGATCAAGGGCTGAAAAACAGGTCGAAGCAGGAAAGGTTGTATGAGGAAAGGCTTCTGGTCTAACTTCCATATAAAAAGCCTATAAAACCTCCTAGCATGGCAGACTCTATAGCACAAAGAAGAACACCCTAATTTGAGGCTATCCCAATCCGGCGCTTGCTTAAAAGAAGAGGACCTGATGGAAAAGGAAATCCGAAGCTGCAAGTGGTGACAAAGAGTATAGTATCTTCTCTGAGGTCTCAGGTGAAAAGTATTGAACGGGTTATCTGGATGTTCTAATCAATCCTGAAAGATACATGCTCCAAATGACA